TGCCATTAATTTTCAAATAATTTTTAATCTGCACTTTAATTTCTTCTCTAACAAGGGTGTTCTAAAATTTTCTAATTGGATAGAATTTTGGATATTCTTTCATGGTGCATTTCTAGTTTTATTACATGATGGTCAGGAATTATGTCCTGTATAACTTTGAGTTCACAAAATTTATAAGCTTTTCCTTGTGGCCTAATAAATGTTCAGTTTTTATATACTCCATGGATATTTAAAAAGAATTTTTATTATCTGTTTTCTGTCTACCAATAAAATTATACACACATGCAATAAATTAAACATCAAGTTTATTAGTTATTTTTGTCTACATAATGTTCGATTTCTAGGATAGTTGCACTAAAATTTCTACCTATGATAGTATTTTAGCCAATTCCCCCTGTTTCAATAATTTTTATTTATATGTTTCAATGATGTCTTTTTAGAAGAACAAATAATTAAAATACAGATATGTGGAAAGATTAGTACTTTTTGTCAATATAAAAAAAATTGTCCCTTTCAGTCCAATCAGGGTCTCTGTCTTTTAATAGTGTTTTAACTCCACTATATTGATTATTAACGTGGAATAAAAAGTTGGGTGTCTACCTCTCACCAAACACAAAAATAAATTCCAAGTATGCCAAAGACCTAAATATAAATACAAGTGTTAAAAACATTCAGAAGAAAGCATAACAGACTATCATGATGACTTCAGAATAGGGAAAGACTTCTTTTATGAAGGCAATTACAGAAGAAAAGACTGAAATAATTGGCACATTGATACACTGTAAATTAAACTTTTGGTATGATAAAAGACTTCAGAAAGATAGCAACATCTTTTTTAATGGCTGAATGCTTTACATCTTTTATATTAACCTGGATAGAATTGGAACACATTCTTCTTAGAAAAGTATCACTAGAATGGAGAAGCAAGAATCCAGTGTCCTCAATTCTTATACGAAGCCAGAAGATCATCTAATACATATCCACATAAGAGAAAAACTCAAATCAATTGAAGGTGGGGGAACAGGGAGTGAGGAGAGGGAAGGAGGGAGGAGGATGGGGGGTTACAGTGTGTGGCACACCTCTTGGGGATGGGACACAACTATAAGAGGGACTTTACCTAACAAACACAAACAGTGGAACCTGATTCTTTGTACCCTCAATGAACCTGACCCAATTAATAAAAAATAAAAAAAGACAGCAACAGACTGAAAGGAAGATGTAATTCTTCCACCAAAATATTAATATTCAGAATCTATAGAGAACTTAATAACCAAGAAGGAAAAGACAAACAATCCAATATAAAAATGATCACAGTGTTTGAATAAGCAAATTACAGTATGGGAAATCTGAATGTCTAACAAACATATCAAAAGATGTTCAACTCAAGGGAGAGAAAAATTAAACAACAATATCATACCATTGAGCTTCCAAGATACAAAAGGAAAACAACACTATACTTACCGAACTTGCAAAAGTCAACAAACTTGACAACACCCATGCATAAACCTCCAAAATGAGATGTTAAATTAAAAAAAAAAAGTTCTAAATAGAATGATACCATTGGTGTAAATGTTTGAAATGTCACCAACAATAGGATATTTTGTGTGGGGGATACACAAACACGCAGCAAAACATTAAAGACAACCATAAAACTGCTACACACCAACTTCAGGAAGATGTACTTTCTGGGGAGGAGGGATGGGAAGGAAGACAGAGGGTTTCAGGTGCAGCTGTAATATCATCTGTCTTTTTTTCTCATGGAGGTCTGAAGCAAAGATAGCCAAAGTTGACATCTCTTTATCTTATTGGTTGGTATCCAACTGCTGCTTGCATTATTTTCTAAAATATAAAAGACAGGCTGGGCACAGTGGCTCACACTTGTAATCCTAGAACTCTGGGAGGTCAAGGCAGGTGGATTGCTTTAGTGCAGGAGTTTGAGACCAGCCTGAGCATAGATCAAGACCCCATCTCCAAAAACAGCCAGGCGTTGTGGTGAGCACCTGTAGTCCCAGCTACTCAGGAGGCTGAGGCAAGAGGATTGCTTGAGCCCAAGAGTTTGAGGTTACTGTGAGCTGTGAACCACAGCATGCTACCAAGGGTGACAAAGGGAGACTGTCTCAAAAAAAATAAACATAAATAAAAATAAAAGTAATATACACATACATATGTGTGTGTATATTACATATACATATGACTTAGTCTGTATCCTCACAAAGCATATGGCCAAAGCAAATGGAAACAAAATTCCCCAGAAGGCCAGATCTACAAATAACATCTTTCTTCTTTTTCAGTGCTATGATCAATTTATTCTTTCTAAGTGCCACCTTGTGGCACTGAATTTTTTTATTTAGGGAGAGGAGGTATACATGTATATGTTTTTAATTTGGTTTTTTGACATTGAAAAATATTACCATTTCAAGTTATACATAAGAATTTCTGAAAGGCCTTATGCAAGATAATAGAGAGCCCATGTAGGCATCATAATAAAAAAGATAACCTAAAATTGATCTTACTAACTGAATGATGACTGTGCCAATTACAGGAACTGTTCCAAGGGCAGGTCTGCAGGCTGAATGGGAGCCTGTGAGTGATACCATCGCTAGTAAACTTGGCCAGAGCCTGCGTGACTGGATTTTTTTTTAAGTGTGTAAGCATGAGACAGAACCACTTTAGGGAGATTTTTGTACAGTGACAGATTTGGGTTCAGGTTCTAAAGATTTTGATTCTGCTGTCATTCAAAGGGTTTTTGAGAAGAAAAAAAATCATCTATACCTCTTACCTAGAATAGATAGTAGAGTTGACATTACCATAATATGTCAGATATACACAAATGCAAATCATTCAGTGTAAAACTAACTACACATTATTTCTCATTCAGCAGATTTTAAGTTACAGATTCCATGAATTTGAGTCCATACTTTTTAACACAACAAAGCTTGACACCTACTTTTATTGGTGTTAACCAAGATCTGAAGTTCAGTCTGTTCATTTGGATTAAGACTGCCTGCGTTCGTACTGATAGTGGTCGAACCCGAAACTAGAGAATTACTACTTCCTGTGAGAAGGGGAAAAAGTAGAATTTTAAAAGTCTACATTTTCATGAATACAGCCATATTCATAATTGGTAGTAGAATGCTTTTTGCTGTTATAAGTCACACGACAAATAGCTTACCTTTCTGCACAGAGAAGAGAACACTTGTACGCCCCTCAGTGTCTCCTGAAGACAAATTAACTGACCGTATTGCTACATTAGGTTCCACCAATTCATTGTCCAAAGACAAGGAATAATTCTCCATTTGCTCAATAAGCCTGCATAGAATAAAGTAGACCTTAACATGCTGGAGATGTCATAACATCAGGGGTGTAAGAAAGGCATAAATATACAACTCACTTGACTCATTTGGTCAAGACAACATGGACCAGCACCTAGAAAGAATTGGTTTTCTTTACCAAAGTCTTTGTTATATATATACTTAAAAAAATAAATTACTCATGGACCAACCTCACCTAAGGCTACTTTGGACATAGACACCAGAAAGCTGGACTTCTAGAATGACGGATTTCCCAGTAGAAGTGGTCATTACTATACGCATGCGATGCTCTTCAAATAGAAGGATGGCATTGCCACCCACTGTTGGCCAGGCATGCATTTCTACTTGTTACTATAAGGGTTAGAATTGGCACCCCAAACATGTCTGGTAAGGTGTTGGTTCCTGAGGTGACAGTTCAGAGAGAACCACAGAAAAGCAGAGTTCAGAGCTCAGTGTCTCAGTTGTGAATAAAACACTGAAGGTTTTCACAATGTCCTTTTCCACTTTGGCTAAGTTTAGAGATAGTCTAGATGGAAGGTGGGAAGGGAGAGGGGCTTCCTGTCAATTGGATGTTCTCCAAAGAAAACTCA